TTTGCTCTCCGATGTTCGGTGCCTTAGCCCTTAGTAGGTCGTGTAACGTACGGTACCTTAGTTCAAATGAACATTTACCTGACCATCCCAACCGAGCCGATTGGAGTTGAAACATTTACAAATGTATCGAAAAAATATTGTAGATGTGAAAAATATGCATCAAGACACCAGACAAAGGTTACGGAAATGTGACGTAATTTATAGTAATCAAAGCCTTTAAGTATATCTAGAAGCAAAATAGAATACATGTTCATGCATATATCGCATTGCATTCTCAGAACGATTATTTGTTGTCACATACGCTCATATAACAATTCCCGTGAGACTAAGCAAATAAACAACGATGTTGCAAGATGATATTGTTAGTTTTCCATTGCCGTTATACATGTAATGACAATATATACTTATCCCTGTTTTATTCTTTGAGAAGGAAAGCGATGGTTATATTTTTGTTTTAGAGTTTTCAGCAATGAAAACCAATGGTAACAATTAGAGCGCGCGCACACCTTACTAAACTATCGCTCAACTGTTTAGTCGCGCTATGACTCCGGTGAGCTTCTTTGGATGTGCGTCTGACGCACGGTTTTTAGTTGTGCAACTAAACAGTTAAACGGCCTGCGAAACAATCGCACAACTGTTGTGCGATTGTATAGTCAAAAGGTGTGCGTCCGCTCTTAATGTAACTTGACAAACACACGTCGAGCATGTCATATTGTCAAGACAGGTTATGTTCTCAATGTTTATATTTTCTAGTATGTCAGTTAAAAATAACAACCACAAAACAGGCAATCTATACAACTGGAATGTTCTAAACAACGCAATGAATATGACGAGTACGTCATATTCATTCATCAATTTAGTAAAATGTACCATTTTTTTTTGACAAAAATATTACTAGATTTTTGTTAATTTACGAATATTTTCTTTAACCATTTCTACTAACCTCTAGGCTTGTGCTAGGATATGGTTCACGACAATAATCGAATGGCGGGATTCGAACCCTCGACCGCAAGATAGGTACTCCTTATCCCAAACCATTTCTTCGTTGGGGCTTATTATTTCTTCTTATTGTTATTACTTTACAATGATTTTAAATATATTAAAAAGAGTAAACGATTTTATAATTAAAAATAAAACGATATTGATGGTTTGAATTTGTTCTATTACAAGAAAAATCGTTCATTCACGTGCGCCACAAAATTAGAGCGAGTATCCAGCTTGTGTATAAGTGAATAATATATTGAATAAAACGACTTTTAGTTGCTTCGGAACTCTGAATTAACAATGCACCGCGCCCGTGTGTTCGTCATAGACATTCAGTCGTTTGCCGTGCTCTATGCTTGCAAGTATTATCGAGTGAACGGTTTCGCGGTCTATAAAAATGGACAATTTAGGCTTCGTTGGGGACGAAGTACCCTCTAATGCTACCAATGTAACATTCCACTGCGAACGAAGATTTGTCGCCTCCTACATTTCTGGACGCTTTAAGAAAGTTGGTGCTCAACACAAATTCATCCCGAATTATGTCTAGTAAGTTGACTTATATTTATTATTCTGTTTTATTTTTATTTTTTTAGTTATCCGTCAAAACTGTATTTTATTGGTAGTTTATAGTTAAATATTTTGTGAAAATAAGCAATAATTGATTCGTTATTATTTAAGAAATGTCTCTAATTATCCTTCCAATAAATTACTTTGATATTAAGGAGGATTGAGACTGAAACGTTTATGTTTAGGTGTATTTATTTAATACAAATAACGTAAATTATTAAACTTAATAAAGTTATTAAGTAAAACAAATGGAGACGTGCTTTTTACCTTGGCTGTGAATCAAAGTTCAAGATCGTTGTAACTTGTTTAACCGTTTAATTGTATTATTAGAAAGAAGTCGATAATATAATATTATACTTCGTATTATTTTATTTGTGAACTTTGCATTTGTTTGTGTTTTTTTCATTAATAATTTTTAAAATTCTATATTATCTAGTACTTTTAATTGTTTATCAATTTCAACCTTGTCTATTATGGAATGTTGTTTTTTCCTTCTATGACTCATTTTGTTTTATTACTAAGGTACGATTTTTAATTTGCATGATAAAATACGACGTAACATTTTCCTTTTAAGGTAGATACACCATCTACCTATTATGAGCGACTAGCCGTTATCGTTCGGCTTCATCCGCATGGAATTATAAAAACTTTATTTTTGACCGACTTCCCAAAAGAAGGAGGTACACAATGCGTCTGTACGATTTTTTTATTGTCTGAAAAACTTTCAATTACAAATGTTGAAAATCAAAAGCATACATTGAAATCCATTTCCATTGGCTAACAATTACAGTTACCATGACAATCTTGCTTCTTTGCTGCTATTGGCTTGTATTTTTTAGTTTCCCGCATAATATTTTTAACAATTCAATCAACCCCTAAATTAAATTGCGTGAAAATACATAGACAAAAGAATGTAAATATGTATGCTGTGATTCATCAGCACCACCTCAGCACTGAGGGGCTCGGAGCCTACCCTAAATATGGGGTGACTAGGCCATACAAAACCACGCTGGCCAAGTGCGGGTTGGTTGACTTCACACATATCTTTGAATTTCTTCGCTGATATGTGCAGGTTGAATCACGATGTTTACCTTCACCGTAAGAACGTCGGGTAAATTACGTACATATGAAAATTCGAAAAATCGAAGATCACATTGGTACATGGCGGAATTCGAACTCTAGAGAACTGATAGTAGTAAGATAGATATAAAAGATATAAAGATATAAAAGTATAGATTAAGAAATCTGCAATTAAAGTGGGTTTTCATTACTAATACTTGAATTAACAATTTATTTACAATACTCTCATTTACTCTAAAATGTGTCGCTCACCAGAAGTATTTAATAATCATTCGTTGCAGTATTGTTATCGTGGTAGTTAACAAAGCCTTATTATAATTTCTTATCAGAATATTCTATCCCGAGAAAAACAACTGCACACAATGTTACTATTTACGTTGAAACACAATACTTTCATAGTTGTTTACTTATTTTTTACATTCGTTACCATGCATTTCAAACTAACCAATAAAATTGCTATTTTTATTTTTAAAAGAGTATGATAGGGATGATTGTGTTTATCTTCGTACACGTGTTTTGGCAGTATAGACACGCGGAATCTATTAACAATCCTATATGAAATACTAGCTGTTGCTCGAGACTTCGCCCACGTGAAATTAAAAAAATATAGCCCATGTTACTCACAGATAAATTACCTTTCTAACGGTGAAAGAATTTTTAAAATCGGCCCACTAGTTTTTGAGTTATTTCAATGTAAGTACTGAAATACAAAAATACAAATCATTCCTCCTTATAATATTAATATAGATATAGATGTATAGGATTGTTCAAGGACACAATCTAATGACACTGATCTGTGTAAATGGGTAGGTCGTTTTTGGGAAATGACTTTTTGCTTCGTTACCAATCAAATCCTTTTTCTATTTTAGTTCGATAAAATTGCGGCAACCAAATAAGCACAAAATGCCATATATAGCCTGTCTATTTATAGTGGTCATTGGTTTAAAACAAATAAATATTCGGATACCGTCAATATTTATTCATAGTTTCTAACATGGATGACCTAAATGTAGTGATTTTCAACTGCCACAACGCCAGCCGTATTGCACGAATAATGCACGTGTCATCGACATTTTGTAAACATCAGTTGTGGCGTAAAATGTCTCCAAGAGTCTTCAACGACTGTCCGGATATCTACATTTTGTTTCGTATAAAGTATTTACTTACTCATTTTAACAATATCTATACAATATAATAAAATTGGTGTGTCTGTTTGTAATATCAAAAGAAAAATTTCAGATTTCGGGAAGATGATGTATTTGCGTTGCTGATAACGAAAATCGCATTTAAACTGTTTTGTCAGTCTGTCTGTCCGCAGGCCACGTTTGTTCCGGGTAATCTCCGAAACTGTTGGGCCAATTTCTACTGTAGGATAGCTCACAAAGACAGGCATATTATAGGCTACTTTTTTAATTCAACGCTGTCAAAATCGCATAACGAGTGATCCAAATTTGAACTAACGATGTTTGCAGGCGTTCGTTATAGAATATTATTAATATATATATACGTTATAGAATAAATTGACTACATTAATCTTGTGTCTAATAACGTAACAACTATCAGTTTATAATAATTATAGTTAATATCTAGAAATGAGACTTCATTTTATCAATGAAGCGTCTATTTTTGTGATGACTTTATAACATGTCTAGTGAAATTACAAGCTAACGTATTTAACAATATTACGGCAACTATGCACACTGAACGTCCTAATGTTACCTGCATTATTTAGAGTCAAAGCCATTGCCCTATAAAACTTCGTGAATTCGTGATAACTCGTTACCGTTAGTCCAATGCTTCATACACTAATGGGCATAATGTATATTTACTATAAACAATTTTATAACATTTTGTATAAGAATCATTCTCCAATAGCATTATTATTATTTTGTAGTTTTTAATAATTATTTTGTTAGCAAAATAATTTAATTTTTAATTAGTAACATTTTTGGTTGTTTAAAGCATTTCAAAATTAGTTTAGTATAGCGCCATCTATTTGTAGTAACTTATAGTAAGGTACGGTTTGCACAACCAGATTCCAAATAAGCTTACTGGAAATGATAATAGATGGCAGTGTTTATGTTATTAAAACAATTTGAAAAAAAAACATTATATTTCCAAGTATTCTCGTACAGTAAAAGTATACAAATAATTAGTATGTTTAAAGCATTTGTTCGGAGAAGGTCACTTATTATTTTAGAAAAAGTAATTATAATTTTTACGTTGCGTAAATACTTTACATAAGTAGTAGACGAAGGATTTTTTTATTTATTGGACATATGCAGATTTTTTAAAGATCCTAAACTGGATTTGGCCTTTGACCACGATTTGAAAAAGTCGTTAACTGGCAACTCTATTTCAAATTGTTAGTAAACATTTCAAGATGACATTAGGCGCTTGTTATTATTTTTAGATAAAAAATGATTTAGTTTTTAAGAGTTTTCTAAATGAACTTTACAAAATTGAGTTACGAATTGTATTCAAAAACAATTGACTGAAACTTTGTGATAATCAACACGATGTGAATTAACTAGTTTTTATTTAAATTCCTACATTAAGTATACTTTTATTAGAATTTCTTAAAATGCTAGGGAATCTCTTTTTTCCTTCTTCCCGGGCTTTCGATTGAATAATTGACGTGTTCGTGGGTAATGGGTACGCATGCGTCGTCAGATCAGCGAGAAGTGAGCTACGATATTGCCTCAAAGTCTGCACTGCGAGAACAGCAGTCTAGAATAGCTGTCGTCGCCGCAGGGATCAGTCGACTCCTAGTGAATCACTTCATAGTGCATTTTCGATCAAGTTTGCATAGAATACTTCTTGCTTGCCGAAAGAAAAGTCACGGAGCCTTCTTTACTAAGGTAAGAATTTAAAATAAAAAATATAGTTTGTCTTTTTTTTTTACTTTTTACACGCTGCTTTAAAAGTGCGAAGTTCACAATAGTTTCGTAACTTTAAAACTAGAGCAATAACTTTTGTTATTAATTCAAATGCTTTAATATTTATTTCTTCCTTTTGTCTCTTGCATGAAACTAGCATTAACTATCTGCTTGGTATTTTTGAGGCTTATTTTTTTCTGTTTTGATGTTAAGTTAGCATGCATCGTGGCCAGCTGAATGGCAGTTCATACTCTGCCTTGGGCAAGGTGTACAATGACACAACTCTTCCTAACAATAAGGGGGGTTATAAGAAAATTCTTCACTTTGGTGGATCTGCAAAGAAGAAGTTAGGACCATTATTCTATAGAAAGAATTGTGAAATGAGCGAACCATTAACCGAGTAAGTGAGCTAGCCAAGTAAATAGGCATTGCTTAATACATGTTTTATTTAACTTTATCATATTTATATTTGCTTGGTGACTAGTTTATTTAATTTGCACTAATATAATCCCTTATGAAGTATATATAAACTTTGATGAAATTTTTGAAGCAGACATTTTGACTGGATAATATGAATTATAAATAAGTAGATGGGCCAATATAAGTATGCTAAGTATGTTGCACTATTACAGAAATCCTATCTTGGACCTGGAGAACAATCACTTGAAGATGCCTTCTCTTAACGCTGAAGAAACTGCTCTACTCAGGTAAGTCATTTAAGAAATCAGGACATTTTCCTGTAATAAAAGATATGTAAATAAATAAATTTGATACAAAAATATAAAAGAGTTGACAGTTATTTTATTTATGGGTAAAAAAATCATTCTGTCTTTTAAAAATGTTATTAAATAGCATGGAATTAATAAAAATGAAAGAAATGGAAGAACTAATTAAGAAAATAGGGTTGGTTGTATTTATGATGTGTTATTCAAAAAAACATGGAAAAAGAATATTTGACTACCCTCAAATTGAACATTAATTTTATTGAAAAAAAAAATACTGTCATTGAATAAGAATCAGAAAGAAAGAACTGCAAAAAGTTATACACCTACCCTTAAGAGACACACCCACTTATCTTTTCATGCGGGGGAGGGGGAGGGGGGGAAAATACGTCAGTACTTTATACCATTACCTAAACTAATTTTAAACCTATGGTTTTAAAAATACCATATATTTTTTGTACTAAAATGTAAATATTTATAAATCGGGTGCGTAGCAAATTCACGTCAGATTTCCTCTGAGATAAAACGAAAATAAAAAAAAAGACTTTTTATATCAAAATATATCAATTTAAAGCAGAATATGGTTTTCATTGATTTTTTCAATAAGAAATCTGCAAGTCCTTTTCTTCCGCCACGCCCAGCCAGCGGTTGCGTAAATTAAATTGATTGCTAACACAGCATTGTGTACATTGGCTGACGTGTTTTCTTTGACACACATAAATGTATATTTTTAATGTATAGGTATTTTTCATTTATACCTCTACAAACCGTCTAATTTGTTTATTTTAATTCCTTCGCTTCCTCTCCCTAAAATTCGGTCACCAGGGAGTGAACAAGACAATTACAAACAAGAAATTAATGATAATGTTTTTGGAAAAGGCAGAGGATTAAAGAAGATAAGAAGTAGGAAGGTAAAGAAGTTAGAAATTAAAATTGAATTGCTGCTATAAAACTTCTTGTTACGAAATAAACAAACGACAATCATTAGCGACAAACGGGATGCGAATTCGTCCTCATTCATGACAACTAAAATAGACCTGCCGTTTAATTGGATCTCCGGTCTTTTTTATATCATAAAGTATCAGGACGTGCGGGCCGTTCACCTTGCAAGCACGACCTATTTAGACATAGAAAGAAGAACATAGATAGAAGAAGAAATGCAGTAGAATTGTTAAATTTAAATCGAAACAGAGTTTTGGTATTAAAAGTATTCTAACGTTATATACGTACAGGACGTTCCTGATAGGCCTTGCACTAGATTTACCAACGATTAGGTCAACGTTGCGGGGGACTACTAAATGACGAGCGTCTTGGAGAGAAGTTAGCCGATATACGACTACTTGCAGTTCAATCATTTCAACACTCGCAGATATCTTCATTGTATTCTAGTTTTAATTTCTGATTCACTCAAAGTATCTAACTGCAATATTATACAGTCTTAACGGTTATGTCGTCTTAAAAGACCGATTTTGAATGTACTGGCACAAGAGATGCAACATGCAAATACGTTAAATTGCACTTTAAGCCGGAAATATTTATTAGCACAAGTAGATTTCGAACTTACATTGTAAGACATTCTAAAGAATGATTAGGGCTGCCACAAAACGGAAAAATGCAAGTATTAATCTTTACAACATAGGCGTAGTCTTCATTTTATATCGACATATTTAGGTTACGTGGTTACATTGACTGTAACTGGGGCTTTGTTTTTACCACGTATGACGTAATCGTATACTACGGCGATGGATATCGTTAGGGCCGCAATGTACGTTGAACATTTATGCGTTGTAAGGTTGGTTATTCGTTTGAATTGGGCCTTTAATAGAATAATGGCCTCGTATCGTAACAGTTAAAACAGAGCAAACAACAGTTTTTTACATGTGGATGTGAAATGATTTCTCACAAAAGCTATAGCGGAATACCAGAGTTGGTTAACTTATCGGGATTTCTTTTAACCTACAGCCTGTAGCTGATGATATATATCTTCTAACTACTATAGCTATATTCTATGACTTCTCATTTTGGTTTTCTGTGTCAATAACATTTAAATTTAATGTACGTGATCTTCCGGTTATAGCTACAATGTGACAATTAACTTAGTCCTTAGCTAAGCAATACGTTATTTCGACATAGTTCTTCCATTATAAAATGTCAAGGCTGTGATCGAACGTTTAAATAACCGAGTATTACCGTTTTGATTTTTTTTCTTTTTAAGATTGATTTATACTTTTTATATAGAGACCACATTTAAGAATTATAGACTCTTGTAACCTGGTTTTAAATGTTTATACAAAATGTTGATACATAAATTTAACATTATAAGTAAAACAATCATTTTAGCACCTTCTCGTGTCAAAACGACAATAACAAAATTAGTGTTGTAATTACAAGTTTCAATTAGCGTTTGTTAAGCAAACTTTAAATTTAGTTACCGTGATGTCGTCTTAGGTTTTTTTAAGAGAATGAGAGTCAGCTGTATATGTCTAGAATTGATCGAACATGAATCAGCCCATCTGGTAAAATCTCAGTCGGTAGAAGAATTGGTTTCTTTTGCATTTGAAGACATCGTATTTCTATGTTCGTAAGAAATCTTCTTTCTATTCAACGCATCTACAATCGTGGATGTCTGTTGGTGGCATCGCAATCGAATTCAGGTGGTCGCTTGCTCGTTTGCAGTATTGTGATATAAAAAAAAATCCATAATTACGTTGAACTTTTTTTGCGTTCGGGAGAACCAAACTGAATCGTTAACTGCGTTTGGAAAATGATTGGAAATCGCCACCTTTTGTCAATCAAGACGTGGTTACTTTATTATTAATACATCATTAAAATGGGATTTTTTCGAATGCCGTTTTCATTATAAAGTGTTTCACCTAATAAGGGGTACTTTACACGATTGCATGTATTAAAAGTATATAACAGTTGGTGCTTGGTACGTTCACAAATTGAAAGTAACTTGCGCTGTCGGCCCCGACCCCGTCCTGGCCGTTTGCCAGCAGGCGCGGTCGATGCGGAATCCCGGCCAAAACGGGCCACAGTTATACTGAAACGTCAAACAATACGACCTTATTCGTAAGGACATCAAAGTCACAAACGTTAACCCTACCCGGGCACCATGCGTTAATTGTACCTTCATGTTCCACCGCTCAAGGGTTTAAGCCTATTAACTGAGATTATATTCGATTTAGTCTGGGATGGATTTGATCTCGTGTTCCGGATTATTAATAACTAGCTGTTGCTCGCGACTTCGCCCGCGTGAAATTAAAAAATATAGCTTATGTTACTCACAGATAAATTACCTTTCTAACGGTGTAATAATTTTTAAAATCGGCCTAGTAGTTTTTGAGTTATTTCAATACATACAAAAATACAAATCTTTCCTCTTTATAAGATTGGTATAGAAGTATAGATGACTACCGTTTGATTTAATAGATCCCCGTTTAACGAAGGTTTTCGATTTTTTATTGAATAACTAATGCAACTTTAATTTGTAAAATTAGTGTAACAATGTAACACTAAAAAAATCGCAGAAGCGGTGAGTTCATTATAGAAAGTCTGGTTCAACAATTTATTTTTACTTATTATCCCTGTTTCTCTAAAAAATAAAGCAATGATGCGCGTCCCCAGCCAATGATCTAGGATGAGACTAGATGGGGGCATCTACCAATTATATGGACTTATTCAAAGTAGTTTTTCCAAGTCTCTAGGGGGTGCAGCTCTCCCCTACTTACCCCTGGCGACAACCATAATAAGAATATATTAAAAAAGGGTGTTGTCTATATAAACGTAAAATCTGACTAATGACGCGTTGAGTAAAAAGTACTTATGCTTCGACGAGAAAAACTATGAAACCCTGTTAATGAGAATATTAAAACAACTAGCCTTCGCTCGCAACTCCGTCCGTGTGGAATTATTTAAAAAAAAGTGAAGTAGCCTTTATGTTCTTTTGGACTATCTTCTACGTCTGTGGAAAATTTTATGGATATTTGTTTATCCGTTTAGGCTATAAACTCTAACATCTATCTATCCATCCATCTAAACTTTCGCATTTGTAATATAAGATAGAAGTCGATACATTTTCGGGTCAAACGTGAGGCAATTGTGTATTGATAAAACAAAATGCTTATATCGTGAAGCGTAAGTACGCAGTACGTAGATACATAAGCGTCATTATAACAGAGGATTACGTATAATACCCAGTCATATGAATCTTCTGTCCGTAGATGCTAACAATAGAATAAGTGGAAGTTAATCCATCCTCTATCGGGAAATGAAAAAGTGTTTTAATATCTTTGAATAAGGTTTTAAAACTTTGATAAAACATTATAGCCTCACTGGCGGGAATACATTTTAAATTTTGCAAAGTAACATAATGGTATTTAGTAACTATAATTTTTTTTTTAATATAACTACATACACAGAATTATTACTAATATAACAAAGCGTAACTCACATAACTTCGTGGCGTAGGATGTCAGGAATTACAGCATTTTTTTTAAATAATTCTTTCTTAAATGAAAATCTATACACTTACGACACGCTTTAGGCTATACATTTTCACGCTATTTAACTTAGGGCGTAAATCAATTGGAAAAAACCTTCATGTGGGAAAGGAACCATAAACTGCAAGCTGCTAACATTAAGGAAGCACATTATTAAACGGTAATATTGACAATTGCAATTGAGAATTTGGCAAATGTAAACAATTAAATAAAGTTTTTATAATTTCACGCAGATGAAGCCGCACGGAAACAGCCTACTTTTATTATAATTAACATTAAGAAAAGTAATATAAATTACGTGTTAAGTAAGTACAAGTTACAAGTTACAAGTTCAGGTTAAAAAGGTTCAGTAAAAGTGTATGTTTTTTTTTTCATCTTTAAGACTTGATAGCCCTTATGTATCTTTTCAGAACTCCTTACATTGGAAAATTTCCATCATGAATCGTTGTAGGTACAAAGTGAATGATGTTTATATAGAAAACGGGGAACGTAAATATAAAACGAAAGAAAATGTACGTCTCTTTAATGCTTATTTTCCTTCACTTTATTTAACTTTATAGTGTAGCCACGTTAATAGAAAACCGACGTCCTCAAATACTTCTTCAAAGACAAACGACAGCAGCGCATCCAATTTCTTGTTACGCTGCAAAAATTTCACTCTAAATTAAAACTTTAATATACCTTCAAAGGACATCATCAAGCGCGCTAGAAACATCTTTTTGATTAAAAAATAACATAAACTTGCAGCAAAAGTTTTAATTAAACTTTTCCATTTTAAAAATGATGTGAAGAAATTTTGCGACTGTGTGTTTATTTTTCTTTAAATATTAAAGGGTTTCTTGGGTTTAAAATATAACTAAGTGATTAATAACTTCAGAGCGTCGATAGCTCAGATATTAAGCACTTGTCTTGTAATCTTGGGTTCGAATGCCGGCATGTAACAATGTGATGTTCGATTTTTATATACCCAAAGTTCCTACGGCGAATGAAACCAGCTTGTTGCAACTTGCACATTTGAGAAGAAATTTATATATCATGCATGGTATAGTAAGGCGGTGGCCGAATGGACCAGCGTAGTTGACTTTGTCCCAGTTGTCCCAGAAACAAATGCATACGATTACAATTTCACATGTAACTAGGAGGATTTAATTTAACAATTTAAGTTTAAGGAGATTAAAACAAACAGATAAAATTGCATCGTTTTAATGTGAATAGCTACAAAAATATTTTTGTTATTTTAACTGCACTCAACGACTGCTGCTAAGCTCTCGTGTAATGCAATTTTGAGGCTTCGGCTTGTCGGATTTAACGCGACTCTCGGAGCGTGAACAGGCTAGTATTTGGAGTAAATCTGTATTATTTTTATTTTTTAAATCTCTGTTGTACAGTTAGATTAAAATTTCGCTGTGAATTTGAAGATTTTATTAGATAATATTGAAGATAAATGTAGATTAGAATTTGTGAATATTAATATACCTTGCTAATCGGATTATCCGTTTCATATAAAGTATGAACGGAAATTTTTCATGTGAGAGTTTTTACCTTAAATATGTTCCATTTCTCTCTGATTCACCGGATAAAGCGTTTTAATGTATATATGTTTACTTTCTTTTTTATTATTTTCAGACAATATAACAGTGGTAAACTCGTTCTTTATCTCGTCTTAGTATTTCAATGTGTACCATACGTTTAGTTATTTAGTATGTGGGTGTACAGATTTTTTATCTCGGAATCTGCACTTAAAATCTCTCCCAATATAGTGAAAACTTAGGAGATTTTAAGTGTGACTGTAAATATGGTTTGCTTAATTTATCAGCCTTATATATTTGTTTGTCTATCAATATTTATTACCAAATCTTCTGACTACGTGAAGTATGAGATAAAAGTAATTTATTATTCAAAGCCAAATAATTCCCAGAAGATAAAAAGTTTTCAAGCACAAAGCTAGTACAACAAACTATACTACATATTTATAAATGTGTGTTTCTATATTTAAACATCCTGTATTCGACCCGAAAATCGTTTTAATTACTTTGTATGAACGTAGTACGAATTCGTGAAATATTTTCGAATGATGTTCATTGTTTAATTCATTTTGTTTTTATTCAAAGCGATTTTAATCGTTCAAAAATCTTAATTAAAAGTACTCCGGATATTAAAAATGGTTCCAGATCAAATATTGATATCGGTTAATCCTTACATATTCCTTTGGGTTACTGGCGTATCAAGGTCAGCTGCTCAGTGCGCAGTACGCTTCCACGAAATCATTTTACGTCCCGACGCAGTTAAAATTGTGTTATGCGCAGTGACTCGTGCGTAGTATTTGAATATAATTTCTGCAATATTAATTTAATTTATTGTCTGCAGCATGGACGACATTGAGCTGAAGAACATTCAGCTGCAGTTCCCTAACGCGCGTCGCTTCAGCGGCGAGGGCGGGTGCGTCGAGGTGCGCGTGCGCACCGACCGCGGCGACATTCTCGTGGCGGTGCAGGGCGACCGCAACAAGCCCGCTATCATCACCTACCATGACATCGGGATGAACTGTGAGTATTTTATTATATTTTGAAACTAGCTGTTGCTCGCGATTTCGTCTTAGTGAAATAAAAAAAAATGACTATGTTACTCACTGATAACGTAGCTTTTTAATGGTGAAAGAATTTCTGAAATCGGCCCTGTAGTTTATTAGTATAGGTAATGTGTTATTACACAGAAAGTAAACGAAAGTATATTTATTATGTACCATTAAGTGGCCACATTCACACTATCACAGTTATTATAAAATGTTTCTTAACTATAAAGGTTTCTTAAAATCTAGGTACTTTGAGATTATTGACGTCTTTACTGAAACTCGCATGTCCCCTAGTGCGTCAATTTAAGTTATATTTAACATAAAATATGGAGTACTTTAAACGTTTTGCCTGTCTGTCGCTTCCTCCTACCGTGTTTCTGTCGCGTGCTTTCACGGAAATTACAGAGAAACGACACCTAACTATTTCTCCCGCGCGGTTCCCGTCTTCTTTGTAGTAGAAACTTCTTAATTGCATCGAAGTCATTCCTAGCGATGTTAGTTCCATATTAAGTGTCTTGTAACATGTTTGAAGAAGTAATTGCCTATTGCTATTTGGTACAAAACTTGTATACATCTAATTAGTAATAATATTAACACTTAGCATGCGGGAATACTTCGCACCGAATTATGTGCAGCGGGTGTTTTTTTAGTAAATCGCGGGGAAATTTGGTTTTCCAGAAATACCGCAGTGAATCCAAAGCTATATTATTTACCACGAATGTTCTAAATACGTATTATTACGTGACCCGCGCTCCAGCGACATACTGCAAATACGTAAAAATACCTTCCCCGTGTGCCAAGTTTTAATTATTCGGATATATATGTTTCATAGTTTACCTTCATTGAAATATTGTATCTGCACAAGCGAAACTGAAAAAGCAATGTGGGTGGTGATCGTCACTTTGTAAAGTCAATAATCGAATAGGTATGTTGCGTACAATCAAAGAGTAACGCAGGGAAACTCTGAAATGAAACACAGAACTTGCTTCATTCCAGAAGTGGTAACGTTCGCAACGAAAAAAAAGTTGCTAATTTAGTTTAGATGCCATCGTGGCCAAGCGCTTGTTTATCTATACTAATACAATACAGCGTAAACACACACTATTTGAGGCGTAGGATGTCAGCTATCACAGCAAATTTTCGAATAATGCCCTCTTTAATAAAAAGCCCCACACTTACGACACGCTTAGGGGTTAAATAAACTGGAAAAAAACATTCATGTGGGAAAGGGACCAAAAACAAGGTGCTAACATTAAGAAAGCAAGGTTATTATGGCAACGAAAATTTACATTTGCAATTGAGAGTTTGACAAATGTAAATAATAAAATAATTGTTTTATAATTCCATGCCGATGAAGCCGTACGGGAACAGCTAGTTTATGATATAAAAAATATATTTTTGACCGACATCTCAAATGAAGAAGGTACCCGATTCGTCTCTATATTTTTTTCGTATCAGAATTCGCTTTGCTGCAGTTTCGCTTACACGGTTGGGTGATACAGGCGTTATATAGAAATTCTTCAGTATTTCGACGTCAAAGTTGCATGGGCGAAATTCCAGCTGCGTTTTCACGCTGAATACTTGTAAAATGTATTGCGATCATGTTACTCTTGCGGAATTTTATCGAAGTTTCAAGCTTTCAATATTGATATTTACCTACGTGAATTTGATCAATTTATATAACGCGTTGAATAGAGAATTAGGTTAAACAAGTATGGTAGGTGTTAAATTTCAAACACGACGGGTTTAATATAATTTTATACATTACTAGCTGTTCCCTTGCGGCTTCATCCACATGAAATTATGAGTTTTTTTTTTGTTATTATTTTTCAAATTATCAATTGTAAATGTCAAAATAACATGACATGATGACAAACTATGGCAGCCATTCTTTCAATTTATTTATCCCCTAAGTTTTATAGCGTGAACATGAATAGCCTAAAGCGTGTTGTAAGTGTAGGGCTTTATATTAAAGAAAGAATCATTCAAAAATATGCTATGATTGCTGATATCCTACGCCACAAAGTAGTGTGTGTTTACGCTTTATTATATTAGTATAGGTTTGTTTGGAATTTAACTAGATTTAACCGGTTTTAATTCGTTGTAACTTGAATAAATAAATGCTTATTTTCGAGAAATTTTATTGTTTAAGAGATAATTATTGACGGGAGGATGGTTTTGTTCTAATTAAGCCGATTAACTTTTAACAAACGCTTTATGCTGTAGAATTATTTTTCGTAACTATTAGACGATCATAAGAAGATTATCATCGTTCCAAATTTCATTAATTAATTTTGACATTTCCCTGTTTGTATATACATATAATAAAGTTGGAGTGGACCGGACTTTCACTGAAGGGTAGCTGATATAGACGGGCGTATTATAGGCTACTTTTTTGTCTTTGCGTTGACGAAGTCGCGGCCAACAGCTAATCTAAATTTTATCTATTAAAGTTATTTTTAACGTCTAGAGCAAATGAAATATTCAGTGGAAATTATTAATGGTCTATTTAAAGAGAAGGGCATTGCCCTTTACAGTTCTAAATATATCGTTTTCCATGTTCATAAATTTAATAGTATTCGTGCATCGATCTATCTAACATGTAGGACAATTACTTTACGATCGAATTAAACCTTTAGTTTTTCTTTTGTTTTCATTATATGCTTAGTACATTCTAGGTTTTATCGGGTTTAACACTTTTTCTTTATCTATATCTGTACTAATAATATTAAGAGGAGAGATTTGTATTTTTGTATATATTAAAATAAATAAACTGGGCCGATTTCAAAAATTCTTTCACCATTAAGAAGCTACGTCATCATTTTCTTTTTTCAGGCTATATTTTTTAATTTCACGACGACGAAGTCGCGAGCAAAGTATTTTTAAAAGCTGTCCTTACTTTATTAAAAAATTATATTTTAATGGCATTATTTAGTGTGAATACATAAGTTTTTGGCAGTGGGAACTCTTTGTCAAATTTTCTGAAAATGCCGTTATATTTCAAAGAAACGTTTCTTAAGAATCAAAGTATGTCATTGCCCGTGGGACCTTCAGATTTTCCAATCGCCGTTACAACCACTAGGGAAATCCGAAGGACGCCTAGTTTTTGTAAAAATATAATCGAATACTATCAATGTAGAACGAAGATAACCAATAGTTCTATAATAAAGACAACAAAAACTAGCAATATTAAAAATTATATTAATGAGAACAAAATCTTTATCTTATTAACTTCTATATATCCTAATTTTCTGTGACCCTGCCATATTGAACGTCAAATTATATTAACCAAATTTGAAATGATAATAAAAAAAACATTAACAAATGCGCGCATTTCTCTCAAATGACGGGCTTAAAAAAATTCATTAGACGAGCGAAAATATGATACGGAAACATTGAGAATATATTTTTTTTACGTGAAAAGCATTTGAAAATGAATAACTCCAGTCTGAGGAACTTCGTAACGAGTATGAGGCCCTTGTAAAATAACAGATTTAATTAGGCGTTTACATTTTAATTATGATACTTCAAAATGTACATTTTAAATTAATTCACATTTTCTTCTTCTATACATGTTAATAAAACACTTGCATACAAATAATGGACCGCATCTTAACCATACTAGAAGATGCTCGTGGTTTCGTTTATTTAGAGCACGAATTTTCTAAAAAAAATACATCATCATAACAAAGCTACGATGTATTTAACTGGCCAATTCTGAATAAAAACAGCGTGTGTTTATGCATTAAAAATCTATGTGAATAGTGTTTTGTCTTATTAGTTGATCGCCAAGAAATGAATCTTCTTAGTTGCTTGCTTATTTAAAAACTTAAACAAATTCACTTCAGTAAAGTAATTAAATAGCTATTTAGGCTTTTTTATATTTTGCAACCGCGCCATTTATAACTTTAAACTGTCGTAGTTTCTACAAATATAATGTTCGTAAGATACGGGATTCTTACCACGATTGGGTTGTTTTAGCTCCCGATATTTCCGCACAGTTGCATGCATCATTCACGGGCTGACTGAAGCGATGTGGTAGTGTGAAAAAAAGAAAAAAAAAAGAAGAGTTACATGAAGCCAAATCGGTCTACTTTTTTTTTCTGTGCCGAAATATTGGGAGCTAAAACAATCCAATCGTGGTAAGAAACCCGTATCTTACGAACATTATAGCCGAGCCATAGTTTGTTAGTAAAGTATTTTTAACAACTTTGGTGGCGACTATTGAATTGCAAATTGCGTATGAATAATTTCCATAAGCGGATCATAAAACAAAACATATTTAACAGCAAACAAAAGAGATATGGAAGTGAAATTGAAATGGACTAAATTTTGAACATAAAAGAGCACTCGGACGTATTAAAAGGTTTTTGTCATTGCACGGAAATAATTTTATCTTTAACTGCACAACAACCGTTGCAGCTTTTGTGTTGGATTCTATTCATCAGGCATTGTTACTTCTCAATTGCACATTTTCAAGCAATATCGTCACATTGTTTTAAAATATCTCGTTTATAAATATTGAATTGTCAATAAGTACACATGAAAGGTATTTTAATTTCTTAACTTAAAATGTTTATTAGGGTTGTAATTATATTTTCGATTTCAATAATAAAGTATAGTTGTCCACCTTTTATTATCGAGGGAAACTATAAAAAAATCTACTGCGATAGTAACAATTCTCATATAATATTATATATATATAAAAATAACTTTACTATTTTCATTATATTTTACTGTTTTTTTTCATTAGCTTTATTGTCAAGAACCTTGATATAAAAGTTTAATTTTATTGTCAGAGTTATAAAACGTGCAACCGGAACTTTCTTCCGCTCTATCCTAAAGGTGACGTCACACGACCCTACTCACCGTAAATGGCTATTGAATCCTTACGTCTGTCTGGTAAACAGACCTGTCTCCAGTGTGCTTCCTATTCAATTTGATGCTCGGATTCATTTTTATTTCTGTGGTTAT